AAGTTTTGAGACAGGGAGAGAGATTGATTGTGTAATCAGTTGGTCAGTACCCTCCTAGGTCTGAACATAAATGGAAAACACATTTGAATTTAACATTGATTTATCGAACGAACATATCTGAAGTCGAACACAACAATTTAGCCAGTGGCCAAAACCGTTCGTCTCATTCGTTTACTTCGCAAGTTGATGGGTTTTCCAGACTTGACTCACAGTTCACGCTGTTCAGCTACATTCACTTAGGCTGGGTAAATCAAATGTGCGTGGTGCAGTGGTTCATACATTTGTCCAGGAGAAGTAAGTGTCCAGGAAGTAAGTGTAACTAATGAGTGAACGACAGATGGTTCCTGGTGGGCAGATGAGCCAAACACGTTGCGTACCAGATACCAGAGTGGACAGATCTTAGGTCATGTTCAGTAAGAAGAAGTCACAAAGTGAAAGGGTAATTGCAACAATTTCTCAGAAGAATAGGTATTCGCAATGTTGCAGAATGTAGGCAGCCCGGGTGCGCTGCTTGGTTATTGGTCTGTTCGCCGAACTTGGCGATTGAATTGCAAACGTCAGTGTACTGACGATGTCATCTCGATTGGTGATGAAACGTTTGCGATCCAACTGCCAAGGTCGGCAAACAGAATAGGTATGCTATGAGATCACGGGGAGTTGTTGGGTGCGGATAAGTGACGAAGGATGGAAAATACTCTGTGGGAATTAGTCTCGTCAGCGATGTGGTGTTTTGTTTAGAACCTAGATGGTTGTACATCAGTGCCGGATGTAGTTCACCATAAGTTTGTCATTTTGAATAAACCAACACCAGCGACTGATTGATTTGTGCGCCACCTTGCTCAGGCTACCAGACGCCTTAGCAATACAGCGAGTGATATAAGGTTTTTGTCATTTTGCGTCTTTGCTTTCAACCACCTGAATTCTGACTGTCTCACACCTTGTTCATGTGAGTTAACGGCTCTGAACTGTTCAAAAGTGTCTTATTTGCCTTCATCTGTCTTCCGAATGACAAATGTTACACCTGCAACCTCTTATAAAATAGGCATTTTCCTCGAAGGGCTCGGAAATCTACAAGCTTATTCATTGCTAAACTGAGCGGGCAGTCGCGAAGATCAAGACTAACACAGTACCGAGCCCCAGGGATGTAAGCAACCTGCATCAGTCGCTTTGACATGCTTAAGTTCGTTCACCTAATGCGTTCCCTTGTACTTTGATTATACAGTTGCATAAATGTTTGTGCATAAACGCCTAAAGTGAAAAAAAATGAAACTATCTCTTGATTGACACAAGATGATACTAAACGTCACTGGCCATGATGGAAGGGCATCTTTCTGACGAAGACGACTCTGGACGCTGGGAAAAATTTATCCTTATATGAAAAAAAACCACCTTGAGCAAGAGCCTTAGATTGGAGGATCTCTAATCATTCAGTGTGGAAATGAATTTAGTCCGCCTCTAGACTGATCACGGTTAGGAAACACTAAAAGGCCAAATCCCATTAAGACTAGCAGTTTAAATATGCCTTGACCTCTGAGTCAAGCTGTGATATTTTCCACATGGGGTATGAGTGACCATCAATTCTGCCTGAAACTAGAGTCGATCGAAGACAGGTGAAACTAAATATCTTCTTGTGACAAGTGCTAGCAGAAAACGTTTGCACGTTGGAGGCAGGCGAATTTTTGTACCTGATGACAGCTGCTCACACAAGAATACTTACTCTGACACAAAAAACAATGCCTAATTAATAACACTCGTACGAATTTTCTGTAATTCATTGTGATTGTGACATAGGAAGAATTCTAAGCTACTGTATATGTCGCACACAGCAAACAATTACTTCATGAAATCGAACAAAGCAACATCTCTTCAAGGAAGCAATCAGACGCAGCCCGTGAGCGTTCCTAACCACCTTCAAAAAGAAACAAGCGTTTGATGGCCACAGACACAGCATTATGATGCGCCAACATAATTTCTTGGTAATTCTGGCAGATTTTGTATTCCAAAACACTGGAAAGGACAATCTTGTCAGTTTTTTTAGATTTATTCGTGTCAGGAAATCAATCTGTGCTGAGAAGCCAAGGATCGTTATACAGCTGTTTCACCCTTATTCAGAATCACTGGCAGTGCATATTTCACGAAACTCAGAAATTTCTGAATCTGAGACCTTCCAGTTTGCAGTTGGACACGACCGTTCGGCTGATCAGAAAAATGGTTAGCTCTCAGTCAGACAGGACATAGAGCTACTCATCCTTCAATCACCGAACCACATCACGTGGTCACGTATCGACCGACCTGTCCAGTGAAGACTTCTCAGAAGAAAGTTGCATTCATTTGGAAAATTACTCTTCCTTGGGACTACTCAGTGCCTGCCGGTGAGGAATATTTGATAACCGCGTTCGAAACTCTTGGAGTTCCATGAGGTGTGCACTGCTGAGGGTTCAAAAGCAATATATGGATAAAACAAATGATCCCAATTAAGGAGAGAAGAGTAAAGTGGAGTTTTACTTGACTTCCACACTCTTATAACAAATGCTCTACTTTAGTGTTGTGTCTTTCCTGTATGACCTTGTCATTAGTATTCCCGAATCGATTTGCTACGTTTGATCTCTCATTTAACATACTCTGGTTATTCGGTAGAGAGTAGATATGGTAAGGAGTAATTCGTAGTCAGCCGTCAAGTGTTGATTTTGCAAAGTTGATCACAAACTGAGGAAAACTCTGCGATACCTAATGACTGACACATCAACTTTTGGTTGGCCGAAAATAGCATTCGTAATATTTGGCACAAAAGAATAGGAAAACTCTGCGATACCTAATGACTGACAAGTCAACTTTTGGTTGGCTGAAAAAAGTATTCGTAATACTTGGCACAAAAGAATAAATTGTTTTTTTCTGGAGGTCTGGAGGTCAACAAAGCTTGAGAGATCACGTGAAACGAATAAAAGAGAACGCAAGGGGTTTAGAATATTCGACGTTCAAGTTCTTGAGTATGATTAGCTATCAATAGTTTTGTATTATGGGGAATCAATTTCGGGTTGCCATTCAATAAAGCAGAAGCATAGAAAGCATCGCTATTGTCCGATCAACAATGCACATAACATCTCCGTTGCAGAGAGATGAACAAAATTAGAGTGGAGACTATTGGTAGATACATCAAGGAATAAAGATGGATGAGAGCGAGATTGGACGAGGACGAATACACCGGTCGCAAAGCAAAATCAATGAAATGAATCGAGTACCTGTAAAACTTATCTTAGTGGAACCGAATAGGAGAAAATGCAAAGCAAAATGCTGTCATCAGTTAATACTCCCCTCAAAATCCCAAACGTTTAAGGGTAGGATAGTCAAATAATATGATTGCTATGGTATGAATACATTGTCGGGCGACCGAATACATTCTTAAAAACATCAAGCCAGAAGCTCCGCAGCCAAAACCTGTTCGTTTTTCAAGGACAGAGGAATATAAATATGTACAAGATTGTTACCTGTTCCTTCGTGTTTAATATAACTGATTTCTCGATGTTTTCTTAGTGTGCTGAGGAACACAGAACCCTTCATAAGGTGCTGTTTTATTTATTGAGATATAGTGTTTTCAACCAAGGAAATGGCTTTACAGGAAAAGCTTTACAAAACCAATATAAAACATGGATTCGCACTGACACTAGACTCGCATGGTGCACAAGACTCAAAAGACCCCTGGAAAGTTTTACGCACAGGATTTCATCTATGGGGAAGGCAGAAGTCCAATGCAAAATGCCTAGAAAAGTTGATGCAAAATTCTACGGGTTCTCCGTTCCCCAAGGACTACGATTGTGCGAAGCTGGCGTCAACTGAGAAACGTGTATCTACTAGAAGCGTGAATAGGAGCATGAGATTGGATTCGATGACCACCCGATGTTTATTGCATACTACTTACAAATGGACATCGACATAAAAGGCAAATGGGATTTGCTGTTCATACAATTTTCTGGGTTTGCTTTGGTATTCATTAACCAGCGATCATCTCAGAAACATTAAGGGCTTATATGTACGCAGCCTTTTTCTCAGATTCTTCCCACTTAATAATCTAATTAAGTCTAGAAGGCTCCACAAAACCTGGGGCAGAAATGTTCCACCTAACTTGCGTTACATTGCAATTAGTTACAGCCCCCTATGAGTACAAGCCCCGTGAATGACTTCATATTTTGTGTGATTTCACACAGATATCAGGGCTGAAATGGTCGTTGGTCGTGTCAGTTTGTGGTCACTTTATAGCCTTTACTGCATGTGGCCACTCACACAGAGTATGTAATCTGTCACAAACACTGTTTTTGAGAACTTGAATGTTCACAGAAATTACCCAGTATCTTGCATGAGAGAAATTATGTAGGTAGTATTACTGACAAACAGGCCACTTTGTTTGTATGACACGGATGCACCGAGTAATGCAGTAGGCTTATTGCTCATTGTCAGCAGAAACAAATATCATCCCGCGTATAAAAAACGGATTGGAAGAATTGGAACTGGCCAGGGTACTGTCACATCTACTGAATCATTCATTTACCCCAAATTTACCTCAAACTTCTAATCATGTGAATTGCGATAAGTGAATGATTTCAGATTGAACTCATAAAGAATATACCCGAATGGCGATTCGAATTCACATCATGTAGAATAGGTGACGGTTTTGTGTACGTTCTCCTGAAGCTGTTTGTTTTTCAGCCGTGTGCTTTAGGTTGGTGTGTGCCACAATATCCAATAAAATCGTGCGAGTTTATGTGCTGAGTACAGCCTTGAATGTGATGACATTCGATTGGCTCGTTAGACAAGATATCCAGCGTAAAATGCTGTTGAGTTTGTCGTGTCTGCACGCACCATTCCGGCATGACACAACGAAACACGACTGTTATGCCATTCTTTTCAATTCGATCCTATGTATCACTATTCCTCGGAGCGCTGGTGGGTTGGACCTTGATCAGCAGCATTCGGTAAAAATTTTCAATCGTTTTGGTGACCCGTAGGTTGCTTGTTCAGTATATACAAACACGGATGGAGCAGCGCGGATTCATTCAATGCAGCTTGCAGAAGGCCACGGATTCTATGCTATATAAACACATTTCCTGCACAGTATGAAACCAAAGCAATCCACGTGCAAAACACGTGGGCCAGAAGGTGCGATAAGTTCTGGTTCACAAGTACAAAACTGCACCGAAAGTTGAAGGTATTGAGTGAGTTTCATCATTTTATAACTCGTTTGATGCAGACAAGGTTCGGATTGTTAAAAAGCTCACTTCCATCGAAACAGGCTAATTTTTCTAAGACTAATGATGATAATTATTTTTGTCACATCGAAAGCACACAAACAAGACTATCCCTGATTACTGATTCCTTTTTGTAACTTGACAGTTGATTTAAGTTTTTTGGTTATCACTGGACAAGATAGCGTCTGTTGACACATCGCGACAGCTGGATCAAGTAGAGACGAACCAGGTGATAGGTGCCGTTAGGGCCCAATACATCTGCGTAAAAGCAAGATATGTTGTGTTGGAGGAGAAACAGAATGATATTCTTTTCACGAGGGAAACTATGGAAACTACTGACAAGGTTGCTGAAATCTCTTCGACAGCCCACAACCAGTTTTGCCCTTCTCGGGGCTCATCACGTAGGCGCAGTTCCCGAATTTCCGTCAACCTTATGTTCTACTTGAACCCAACTTGGACTGTTTTCGAGAAATACACTCATTTGCAACGCAACTGAATCGCTCGTTTGTGATATTCTACAGCTGAGTTTCTCGTGAAAACCAAATTGATTTGCAACTGAGTGTATTTCTCGAGAACAATATCCTATTACAGTAAAATATATAGCCGACCGTTTCCTTTCTTTGTGCAGGCAATAATGCAATCCGAATGTCCAAACAACATTTTGCTGTATCTAAGAGACATGCAAACCACATATTCTGAGCACTCCTCACAAAACGTTCTCCAATGTTTCGACCCCAGTTCTGTGTAAATTTTGTCCGTTCCAAAGTAAATAGATTTATTTTCTTGCATTATGAAAATGTGGGCTATATTAAGCCGAAATTGTCAGGCCGATTCGAGCTGCGTGGCCGCGGTGGTATAAAATAAAGCAAAAATGTATGGAAACTCACCCGCTAAATTGTATGGCAAACGAAGTGTGGATGGATTAGAACTTATCTATTCAGTTATACAAGCTAGAACAATGCAACAACTGCACACACACACTGACCGGCTGAGTAGAAAATTGAAAATTCAAGATGCCAGTCGTAGTCACCCTAATGCGTTTGGCGTTTTCCAACGAATTACCAAACTCTGCTCCGCTGCGAAGAGCATTACAGGAAAAGCTCTTTCAAAGACACTTTATAGTAAAATACCAACCTGTATAACTATCACTACTGAACAAGGAATCACAAATATCTTTCAACTACCAACTCTTCTAGTGCCTTCCCTTTTCGTACCTCATAACCTTCTGAAGAGGTTTGGTTTGCGGTATCCTTGTAAACAGTCATTTCATGAGCGTCGAAAGCACCAGACATTTTGGGTGTTCAGCTCACAATTAGTTTTCCTTTCTCTGAAATATGATAGTGGTCACTCGTCATAGAAAGCAATTGTTAGGTTCCCTGTGATTTGGTGTAGAATAAATCCCGACACAGAGGAAATCGCAGCCGAAAACACCACAATTAGTTCTCATGGAGCTAGAATATGATAGTGGTTGTGCGTCACAAGAATCACCTGTTAGGTTCCCTGTGACTTGGTGTAGGAAAACTCCAAAACAAATCACTAACAACCTTGCGACTTCAAAATTTGTGTTACCGTTTCCCTTGGAAGTTAACAAGGAGTATTCCTGAGGGGAAAACTGGTAACTGCAAGAATTGCGAAACATTCTCTCGTCAAGTTGACTTTCACATACTAGCTGAAACCCGAGGTGACCTTTGTTCAGCGCACTCAGCCGAAGAACACCAGGAACGAGTTTCTGTTTGGATTCAGTTGAATCTCCTGGTAGAGAACGAAGCTGGTGAACGAATAAGTGTTGTTTGCACATTTTTTACCCTAAGAGGGGCAAAACCGGTCATGTCGTAGAAGAGTCTTCAACAACACTGAGTGGTTTCATTCAAGAAGGATTTCAAACTAGCAATATTCCGGTCAGTGACTGAACACAACCGCTCAAGTACGAAAGGCCGATCAGTATTGTAATTAACTCGCACTTAGGCACGACCAGAGTTAATCATCTTTAAGTGAAAGAAAACACATCACGTGGTCACGGACTGACTAGCTCCTCGAGTGATGACTTCTCAAACTGGTGTTTAACTCGTGACAAGTAAAAGATAATTCGACCAGACAACTGAAACATGCAGCTAAGAAGTCATCAATCAAAGAGCCGGTCAATAAGTGACCACGTGATGTATTTTCCTCAACTGCAGGATGGGTGAAACAATATCCTGTCTAACTGCGGGTTTGTCAGTGCTGATCAGTTCTCATAGCCAAACGGTCAAGTGTTCACCTACTGACCCAAAGGTCCTGTGGTTGAGACTCTCAGAAGCTTTGTGATATGCGAACCGCTGGCGATTACACATAGGGATAAAACTACTGCACATCATTTTAGTATGCATTTTTGGCCAGCCGATGTGTAAAAGAATGTCTCATAATCATGTTACCCAAAAAAAGCATATGCGGGGTGCGTGAGGAACGAATTCAATGAGGTCTCTATAGAATAAATAAGGAAAACCGAATGTACCAAAACTGGGAATGTGAATAGATGTGTGCAAGAAAACGACCTTTTTCTCCCCTGCAGAATAGAGAGTACACCGCTATCTGAGTAATAAATCTTTCATACTTTCAAGCACTGATGTCTTCCGTTGACAAAAATTTGCTTACCTAATTTGATAAGGTCCCATGTATACTCATGGTTGGGTGAACGCAGTAAAACGCATGGAAGTTTATCTATTTTCAAAAGTAAATAGCTAATGATCATTTTTGTAGTATTTGGCTAACCCAAACATTCAGTGATAGAAACTGTTCACAGTATTTTCCACAATTATTTTAAAAAGTGGCACACTTTTGGGAAGACTTCAATGTTATATGAGTTGCTTACTCACGTGATTCTGTTCGTAAACAATCACACGCACTAGCTACCTTTAACATCGAAAACAGTCGTTAGAATCCTTGAGATGTCGACAAGAAGACTGTGTTCAAAACACTGATCTACGATTGTGATCACTGTATATTCACCACCGAGGCTTGGACTACCCGATAGCATAAATCTATGATTCAGTGCACATCTTTACCTGAAATTTATGATTACATGACATTCACTGTTTAGCTTAATCACATAGAATATGAGCGTTACCAGCTCTATGGTATTATTGAATTTATTAGATCATAGACATGAATAACTGGCAACCGAACACGGTTTGTTGTCATTAGTGATTAACACATTTTGAAGCGTCAAAATCGCATTCACGGGATCGAATATGATGCTGCACCGAAGTGGGAGTAAAATAAGCGATGAACCTGTAAAGACTCATTGCAACTGGTTTGTGTGCCATGACACGCTTTAACGTTCATTACCCGCATAACCCATCAACTCTTCTACGTTTGTTCAGAATACCGCACTATTTAAAAATACTTCCGGGGAATCACCCAATGAGGTACCGTCAAAGTGGTACTGTTTGGGCCGGTGTTATTTCACTGACTCCATATTTAATAATGCATTCTCCCTTGAGATGAAATCATCTACCAGGTACTTATTGATGCAAGTAGCAAGCTCAACTCGGTTCCAGGTAGTTAAGTTTACTAACCGGACAATTCAGTAAGCTGGTACACATAATAGATCTGATTTATTCATTGCAAGGTAGTCCTTTGTTGAGTAAATCCACATAGTGAGGTCCATTGAAGGAGCGGGATAGTCTTCCAACAATGAAGTCAATGAGAAGCGACCACAATATAATGTTATGAGTGTTAAAATATCGGTTCGCCTGCGAAATGAAATAATTATAGACATTGTTGATTGCAATTAGGCTCTTACCAAACTGAACAAACAGATATGACAGATGTGCTGTCGAAAAATTTGAGTATTTTACAAGATGAACATCACACCGCACTCGATAGCAAAGTGGTTAGTAAACAAGCAGATGTGGCGCAGCACAGCACATCAGCAGTGAAGAAGATCTGATCTGAGGCCTCAAGTAAGCAGGTAGGAAAATCAGATATCCACCGTTGGTCACACAGTACCCAACTAATCCTGATATCTTAATGGCGCCAAGTAGATCCAGAAATGATAGCTGTGTACTATTCGACGTTAGATTACATTGTACTGGTTTTCAATCATCGTGGTCATTTGTGATTTATAACCTGTATGGGTTATCTATAAAGGGGAATGTTGGCAGTTCAGGTAGCGTAGATGGTCGTTGGTTTGTTCGCTGAGCTGGACTGGTGCACAGCGATGTGTTGGTCGTTGCGTAGATCCGAAAACCCTCCACTACGCTCTACTACGCTCTCCAAAAACGCACTGATGATGTCACCTCGATCGAAATGCCCAGCTCAACGAACACACCAATGACTATTTAAGGGGGTTAGCCTGTGTTGCTCAGACGGTTTTGTTTTGATGGATAAATTAGGTAAGCTGTAGTTTTACACTGCCCTTTCCTCACTGCCCTAATCACATCTGTTTTTGCTTTGTCAACTGAGCTTTATGAAAGCCGTAGCTTTCGACAAGTATGTTTGATTTCTTTGTAGAATTTAGTTGATCCTGATGCGAATAAACCAGATTTGTACAAACCATACTGAAAAATGCAATACTAGTGGTTCAAAAATCATTGTGTACTTTGATATACTCTCAAACATTCACAATTGATGCACTCAATTGATGGTCAATGAAACAAGTGAGATCAATCAATTTCATCTGCTGTTCATTGCAGTGTCAAACAAACCACTTTTTCTGAAATAACTATTCATCAGGTGCAACCAGAACGAAGTTATTTTTGCGGAGTATATGGGCGGGGACTCGCATCTTGCTCTTACCATCATCAAGAAAGTGCAACACCAAATTTAGCATCCAGGATTCGCAAAACGGAAATTTAGCAATCGTAATGCACGAATCATCTGAATGCTTGTTTAGATTGTTAAAATACGCGATAAAATTTGTTGGCCGCACACATTTTGTGATTGCCAACATAAGTAATCATATAAGAGGTGTGATGCAAGATGTTCAA